AGAATATTTTGCTGAATTTACACACCTATAATATTCAACAACGGAACTTAAAAAAAATTGGGGTATAACTAAGAATGTCCATTTTGTATCTGTGTATGCAAAGTGGTCGGGATAGATATATAGTTGCATTCTCTTAATGAATAGAATGATTTTTTCTAGTGGTGTTTGTAAGTAGGATCAAAAGTCTGCATCTTGTACAGCAATTAACCACTAAGAGGAATATATGCAGTGTATTATTTGTTGAAAAAAAAAGAAAGAAATAACGTGTGTCATGCACCACCTGTGCATGATAAATGTAATCATTATGTAATACAAGCACATACTAATAATATTTGCATTGTCTGGAGTAAATAGACAATAAGTGTTATTTTTACTTTCTACATTCTGAATTTTCCTAGTGAATGCATATCATAACTTCAATCAGAAAGATAATTTTTTTAATTCTTTACTATTGGGGAAGTTCAATTACAAACATGAGCTTTGATAAATGTTGGTGATTATTTACCAGGAAGATATTAACACTAGAATTTTATCTTCTCAAGGGGAGAAGAACTTACAGAAAACAATGTAAAATATGGACACAGAAAGAGGAGCTTAAATCACCAGAACCTGGATATTTAGAGACACTGCTGTCCATCTACCAACATGATTTCAGAGGATTCAGTCCTGGGCTCCAAAGCAGAAACAATATGGCAAAAGGACATGTTTCAACAAGGAACACACTTCCCAGAAAGCAGAGCACAGCAGAGTGCAAAAGACAAGACTTCAGTGCTCTTATATAAATCCTGCAACTCCATCCCTAGCTCAGGTGGTTCTAACGGGATCCACATAGCCTACCCAAAGTCGTGAGAGCAAATGAGGGCAGTTTCTTCACTTAGACCAATAAATGTTACGTGCACGAACTTTGTTTAAAAATATTGAGAAGTGGATGACTACTACAAAGACAACACAATGCTTTGTATTAACTGTTGTAACTCTCCTACCAACCTATTTTGAAACTGTCTCACTGTCATTTTTTCACAATAACATTAATTTTAAAGTATTGAGAAAACAGATGAATTCCTTCACACTGAATATTTATAATAAAATAGGAGGTGCTGAGGACACCCTGAGAAGGAGGCTATGAGAATGCAAGAGTCATCAGGTAAATTTAGTACACAGTGGCTATGCTTCGTTACTGCTGAGGACATCACTCCACCATGGCCTTCATGACATTGGGTTATGGGATTCTGTCATCTTCACCAGATGACAGAATCCCATAAGGATTTCCAACAGGAAATCTCTTTCCAACAGGCTCACTTCTAACACAAGAGAAAGGCCTAATGCTCATACGCTGCAGAATCTATCCTGATGGACTTAGATCATTTCTGTTGCAAATTGTGCCATTGGGAACCCAGGTTTATGGCAGTACTAAATTCTCCAGTCCCCACCATACACTGTTGTGTTCCTCTTGTTAACTGCAACAGGTGATCTGCCATGAATCATAAGCAGTGATCACTGTGTGATTGTCACACAATGATGTAAAGGAAGTCATGAGGGAAGGCATTGGGAGATGGGTGCTGTCTTAGAAAGCCTCCCATGATGAAACCTCACAAAATCAGGCAGAAACATAAGTGACTGAGCCAACTCCTCCCCTTTCCTCTACTAGGCACTAAAAAACAGCATGGACAAAGCTTCAGAAGATCTCACCTTGGAAGCCTTCTTGGGAAGATGCAGCAGCTTCTGCTCCTGCTCCTGGTGGCCTTCTCTCTACTTTTCAGGACAAAGGCAGGTAAGTTAACAACTCCATCTACAAGAGAAACAGACCATTATACACAGGACATGAGTGTCCTGTCCTCTGCACACCTCTGATTCTTCTGTCTACCAGTCATGTCCTGAACCTGACTTCCAATCTACCAGAGAACCCCAAATATGGCACTGGGTAGGCTAAAAAAAAACTGTTTTCAACAAGAGTGAGGGGACACTCTACCCTCACTAGGTGTCAAAGTTTCTCATCTAGAAAGTGGGTCTTTCCTCAAAGTATAGGCTAATGATGAGAAAGTATCAAATACTGTATAGGCCAGTATAGGCCTATCTTCTGTATCTGGCAGAAGAAAGCTGCTGCCCTCGTCAGCAACTTAGCAGATTCCCAGAACGCTACTTTTCCCTTTCCTCAGATATAGTATGCAATTGTGCTTGATCCAAATCTGCTTTATCCAATGCTGCATTCTGTCCATTCCTTACTATCTCTCATGCCTTCCATATGAGCCACAGACAGACTCTGACTATCCTGTCTTTCAGAATCCCATCAACACTGTCCTATAAACCTTGGTCCAGAGACTACCCAGAGACGTTCTCTCACAACCAATGAACAGTTCTGGGGCACCCATTACATCTCAGGGCCTAGGAAAGAGGATTAGGCAACATCTAGAACACACCTGAAGCCTTGCCATTAGGATGCATCAGAATGATAGATATCACAGGACTCTGAGGGTTTAAGGTTCTCAATGGAAATGAAAGGTCAGCAGAGGAATTGTTAAAAACCTGTAGGATTTTATTGTCTCCAGCCTGCTATGTACATCTCCACCTGCATGGGGAAGAAAGATTTTGAGGCCAAGACCTGACTTCCCTCTTTACACAAAAGCAGCTGAGGCTCCTCATTCCAGGTTCCTCCCAGCTCCACAGCCTCCCAGGTGGAAAATGTCAAGTTCTGAAGACATTTTGTAGATGCTCAGGCACTGACTCAATGGCTCTTCAAAACTGGCTTTTTCTCTCAGGGGAGATCGTCGGGGGACACAAAGCCAAGCCCCACTCCTGGCCCTACATGGCCTTCCTTCGCCTCACAAATATTACTCATGCATGGAGGTGTGGTGGCTTCCTGATACATGAAAAGTTTGTGCTGACAGCTGCTCACTGTATGGAAAGGTGAAGAAGGAAAACTAGCCCCCCGCTTTGGGGAAATGCTCCTCAGATACCCTTCCTCCCGAGACACTCCTTAAGCTCCTGGAAATACACAAGAAGGAGACTCCTTTCAGAGTGAAAGGGGCTACCCATGTCCCAAGGGTTGTCAAGCAAGTTGGCACCTAAGGAATTGAAGACATAGGAAGACCAGGGTTAGTAAATCTGACATATTAAGGCCCAGGATCACTCCTTGGCATAACAATAGACCATAAAGTAATTGTGTTTTCATGGAGGTAAGTGAGCCCTGAGAACTTCTGGAGCCCTAGGTCCAAGATTTCAGTCTGTGTTACTAAGAAGGAGAGGGCATGGTCACTCAGGCAAGTGGCCCTCTTGTCATCTAGACCTAAAACATTTACCAACTGTAACCTGTTACTTACAGCTCCTGGATAGGTCCTCTGAGGCTCCACATTCTTCAAACAACTCTCCTCTCTTTACAGACCTTAGCACTCAGAAGGTCGAGAAATAACCATTAAACTAGGGGCCCACAACATCAAGCAGCAGGAGGAGACTCAGCAGGTCATACGTGTGCAAATAAACATCCCACATCCACTGTACAATCATAAAGAAAGCATCAATGACATCATGCTGCTTCAGGTAAGGCACACCTCCCTGCTGCTCTTCCTCTCTTCCTACAGGATTGCCCCTACCAGTGGGACTCCGCAACTTCCCTCCTTGCCATCATCCATCACTGTGTCCAGGCCAAGAAAGCACAGGTTCATATTTCTTATTTCTTTCCCATCAGCTGGAGGAAAAGGCCAGTCTAACCAAAGAGGTGCAGATTCTGGAGCTTCCCAAGGGAAAATCTCAAGTGAAGCCAGGTGCAATATGCCAGGTGGCTGGTTGGGGACGGTTGGCCCCCAGAAGAAAACTTCCTAAAACACTGCGGGAGGTGAAGATAACAGTGCAAATGGATGAGGAGTGTAAGAAACGCTTTCGCTATTATGACAGTGCTACTCAGATCTGTGCTGGGGACCCAAAAATTAAAAAATCTTCCTTTAAGGTAAGACAGTTGCTCTTTCACACTTTGCCTTGGGAGAATGAGTGTCTGGGAAAGATATAGCAGCAAGAACAGCCCTTAGTAAGGGCCAAGAGACATGATTTAGTAAGCTGAGAGAATTCTTCCTGAACTGATAAGTAACTGAAGCTTTCACCACTTGTCCAAGTGTCCTCTGGAGAAAGGTGCCCTCTGGTAGCAGGAGTTTGCAACACATTGCCTGAGCTCACATCACAAGCAATAGAAACCATTCTTTGGTGTGCAGTAATTATACGCAATTGGCTCCTCAGAGCCCCTGACCCTCATCTTCCCTGCTCTATGCCCGGACACTTATGTGTCTCCCTGTGTTTAAACACAAGCCTAAAACCACTGGTCCCACAGAGCTCTAGAGGGAAGAGGTTCCAGGACCTGGGATGAGGACAAAGCCTAACTGCCCAAGTGAGGTAAAGCAAAAACTATGTCAACAGTCAGAGCAGGCTGCTAAGGGCCCCGGGGCCTGTCTTTCACTCTCATCTACCATCAGCAGAATATGAGTAGTACTTCAACAGGGGTTTAGGACACCAGAGGGGAAAGGTGAGGAGGACACCTGCCTCATGACCTCACTCTCTTTTTACAGGGTGACTCTGGAGACCCCCTCATGTGTGGAAATGTGGTTCAGGCCATGGTCTGCTATGGAAAAAAAACAGGGAAACCTCCAGGGGTCTACACCAAACTCTCACCTTATCTAGACTGGATAGAGGAAACCATGAAACACTACTTGCTACAGGAAGCAATTAATGCCCCCTCTCTGAACAACCATCTTACCTGAGCATGAGCTTAAAAGATCTCAAGAGCAGATACCAGCAACTAAATAAATATCTCATCTCAGTAAGAAGGTTTCTTTCTTTTTTATTCATGTACTTTCCTTCATGGGCACCAACTCTGTGCTAAGCAGGTCAGTGGGACAAATATGTTGCTTGCTGCCTCCTCCCTTCCTGATTCCCCTCAGTACCTTCAAAATCCCACTCAAAGCTGTTAACCAGGTCCCTCTAACCTACTTTACCTTTCCCATGGCCTCCCCTTTTGCAAGGACAGAATCTAAGCACCATCAGTGTCTCAGGGTGAACATGTGACTTCTTCATGTGTCAAATGGCAGTGGGGAAGAGGGATAGTTTCATGGATGCTGCAGACCTGTCAAGCACCACTCAGGTCACTACTCAGTCCCACCACACTGGGTAGAGGAGGCTCTTACTCATCAGGACTTTACTCTCCCATAGGTTTAGGGATAATGGGCTGTGGAGTATCCTCAGTGACTCTTAATTCTAAACTGAAATTATTTCCTTCACCTTTCTCCTCTAAGACCAAGACTAAACTATAGCCACATGGCACTCCAGAGGTACCTGAGATTTAGAAATCATTCTGCTCCAAGCCACACACACCTTCAGTTGCTCTTATAATTCTATGTAATGCAGTCATTCCTTCACCTGGGACTCTGTTATTTCCCTTCTTGCCATCTTCTCCATCTTGTTGCCCAGGATCACAAGGCATAGAGTCTGTGCTATAGACTGATCTTGTCTCTCTTGCTTTTACCTGTCAACTAGAGGGAAAGGTTAAGGTGAGTAAATCTGTGCATCCCCTCAGATTACATGAGGACATGACACAAGTGAATGGAGGGGACATATGCCTCATGGAAGGGTAGGCAAGACTAACTCCATCAGGCCCCAGGGCAAGTACACTGCAGAGAGGGAGCTGACAGTGCAAGACAAACTAAAATACAGATCACACACTCAAGTGATCCTGATGTCCCTGAGATGTGTGGGAGACCCAAGAAATGACAAAGCTTGTTGCAAGATGAGGATTTCACTGACTGTAAACACAACATCTAGGGTAGGAGGAACTCTGTTGGGTGTGATAGTGTCCAATTCCCTTGACTTAACCCCAGGGCTTAGAAGATGCAGTTCTCAAGCCATGCTCTCCATATTGCATGCCCTGCTGCATACGAGTAGAGGTTTGGGGGGTTACTGAGTATGGTGTTATCACAGGAGTAAATCTAAGGCCTGTGCAGAAAGATTCAAGTAAATTAAAACCAGAAAGTAAAGGTGGGCTCAGGTTGGAACTTCTGATCACAGGAATGAGACAGGTCTGCCTTTCCTGGATCTCTGTTCATAGCCCAAGCGAGAGATCACCCACTGTGGAGTTTCCAGGACACCTTAAGATGAGGCCAGTTCAGAGGTTCCATCTCCAGCTTTAGGGAGACTCTGGGGATAATCTCATGTGCAACAAACACATCTAACTCCTTTCTCCTCTGGAAGAAATAATAGAAGATCCTCAGTAGTCTTTAAAAATGGCTCCCCCTTTCTCTCCTGTATAAGCAGCACCCTGGGACACTTGTAAAAGCAGAATAAGATTAGCCTCACCGCTGGCCTCACCAGCTTTTCACAACAAAAGAAAGAATCTCATGAGCATGGGCCATGGGGATTGCACTGTGACACTACATGGTTCTCAAGACAGAATGTAGCTGAAGTCCTGCTTGTTCACTGACCCCACTGCCTGTGAACTTGCACTGCTTTCCATTCTGGTTATGGCTGCTTTCTCCCTTCCACTTTTCTTCCCTTCTTCCATTTCATGCAATGTAGGGAAACAACAGAGGTCCCTGACTGCTCAAGCACAATTTGTTTTAATGCTCAGCACTTCCATGTGGTTCTGATTCCTGTGCAGTGGGATGTCTGCAGCATTTAAAACTGTCCTCATGCACATGGTCCCATGTTCTTGTTCAATGCTACAAATATGAAATCTCTGGGTTTTAGGAGCTTCTCACCATCTCTAAGTGAACAAACTTCGTCAAGCCCCAACAATTTGACAAAGAGTTGAGCAGTGAAAAAGGGGTAACTCCTGTCAACCATGAGTGTCATGGTTCCTGGGCCTCTCTTGTGTGGGGCAGATTTTTCAGATTCAGTGCTGTGTACTACTTAGGAGGCTGTGATGAAGCCTAGGCTCCCAAGTCCCATTTGATGCTCTCTACCTGGCCAGCACTCAGTTCAGTTCGCCCCGTTCCTCGGAGCCTGGCCCTTCCACACCAGCCCTGTCTTCCCCACACTGCACCTGGCCACCAGCTCTTTCCCTTTCAGTTCCTCAGGTTTAAGCCCCCTTCCTCTCCTCTTCCAACACACTTCCAAATTCTGTGTGCATTCACTTCTATCACTTGCCCTCTTCTCTTCTACTTTGGCAGGGCTGATTGAATTGTTTGCAGCCAAGCATTGTCCAAGGGCTCAACATCACCTCCTAGGGAGCCACTCTGCAGCCTCAGCCCTTTCCACCTGGCATGACCTTGAACTCCTGCCTTCCCCAGAAGGTAGGCCAAGGTCACAGCAATCCGTAAGCCAGAGAACCCAGAGCTTCTGGGCAATGATCACTTAGCCATATATCAACAAACACCCTTTGATCTATTTTTTTATTTACAGATTTTTTCCCATAATTTTATTGATAAACAAATAGCAATGAGACAGTTCCAAATCAAATTGGTAAGACAGTTTCAATAATTAACACATTGCATACATTCTTCCCAGTGGTTAATTGCTGTACAAGATGCGGACATGATATCCTATTTACAAACACCATTAGAACTAATCACTCTATTCATTAAGAGAATGTAACTATATATCTATCCTAACCATTTTGAATACAAAGATACAAAATGGACATTCATCTATATCCCTTTTTTTTTAAGTTCCATTATTTGAATATTATAGGTGTGCAAACTCAGCAAAATACTCTAAAAGAGTCCAGTAGCCCATAATAATATTGGGTCTTCCGCTTGATTGGCAATGTCAGAAATTGTTGACCTGAGTCCCCTACAGCTCAACATAACACCATGGCTTTACTTCTTATATTTCGTTTTTATACTTTTCTGATGGCTGGTTAAGACCAAGGTAAAGCAGGTCCTATGCAACAAGAGTTGTAGCTTTTGGGTCTGATAAGGTCGGTGAAATCTATTTCTTTGTAGAAGAATCATAATAGGTTCTGGTCTTACCTTTGAAAAACTCTCAGGAATGAGAAACTTGTTCTAAATATCACTAGTTTCTCCTCTTCCACAAGGCAGATCAGTTTTACCCAGAGAGAATTATACCAAGAATCAACTGGAAGACTGGGCATGGTGGTGTAATTGCAAGGCTTTGGAGGCTAAAAACAAGAGTATCACTAAGAGTCTGACCTGAATAATGAGACACTGAGGACCCTGTGGACCCTGTGCAAAATACATTTTAAGAAGTTATCAACTTGAAATTTTCATTATAAAAATCAACATCTTTCTATTCTGTCTTAGTTATGCAAGACAGGGTCACATGCCTCATACATTTGGCTTCTGATGAAAGCTATGTGACACTGTGAAGAACATATCCATTCTCACGTCCTGACAGAGATCAATGGAGTCACAGGGGCTTGGGTCAAAAAATGTTGGAGGGAACTGGAGGCACCCAGGCCTCACTCATTTTCCACCCAAAAGCCTCCACAATGGTAGAGTTCACATGTGAGATAGCTGTCATGTAATGATCTTATTTAGGATCCCGTATCTCTAAAAGCACTCACTGTACCTCACACAACTAATGCCCTAGTGAGCCCAACACTGCACCCCTCCCCAGTAGGTGCTGAATACCAAGGATAAAGCTATGTACCAAAAGAAATCTACAAGCATCAAAACAAAAAAATAAATAAATTAGCATATAAAGTGACAAGACAAAGAAGCAAAATTTTACATTAAAAGGCTGGCCCATTCAGAGAATGTCCAGAGCACAGTGAGAAAAAGAATTAGAAGCCAGCCACTGGAACTTTCTAAAATGACAGCAACAGAAGTAAAACAACAATTTAAAGATACTATAGAATAAATAATCTGTAAGATGTAAAAGGAACTGGTGATCAAAATGAAAGAGATTAAAGCAGAAACACATTATTAAATAAAGGAGAAACTCAGGAAAATGAGGGATACATGAATGTCCAATGTAGGAAAAAAATGGAATACATTTCTTCCACAGATCTATTTGAATCCACAGATACAAACACAAATTCAGAGGATTAAAAGCTCCACTGACTGTAACGTCATGTAACTCGGTAGTGTCCCAAATTTTCTGATCAAGGAGATTATGGGGCCAAAGAGAAAAGTAATTGATGATGTAGAGTGTGCCAAAGGAGAGTCATATGGAGAGAAAACATTCTCAGGCTTTCACAGAGAGCACATTGGCCAAGCAATGGCCGTGACTCGTCCACATGGCTGACACTGACAAAGGATCTAAAATCTGAGGTACAGGATCTCAGGATAAATCCTGAGGGGATTTCACTGCCTTATCAGACCCAAAAGCTACAATTCTTGTTGCATAGGTCCTGCTTTACCTTAGTCTTAACCAGCCAGCAGAAAAGTATAAAAACGAAGTATAAGAAGTAAAGCTATGCTGTTATGTTGAGCTGTAGGTTACTCAGGTCAAAAATTTCTGACATTTCCAGTGAAGCAGAAGACCCAATACTATTATGGGCTACAGGACTCTTTTACAGTGTTTTGCTGAGTTAACACACATATAATATTCAAAAAATGAAACTAAACAAAAAAGGGATATAGATGAATGTCCATTTTGTATCTGAGTATTCAAAATGGTTGGGATAGGTATATAGTTACATTCTCTTAATGAATAGAAGGATTTGTTCTAATAGTGTTTGTAAATAGGATATCATGTCCGCATCTTGTACAGCACTTAACCACTAGGAAGAATGTATGCAATGTGTTAATTATTGAAACTTTCCTACCAGTTTGGTTTGAAACTGTCTCATTGCTGTTTGTTTCTC